AGAAACAAACACACCGATTGTCATTTTCTTAAAAGTAAAATCATGTTTTTGTCTAAATTAAGGTGATGTTATTTTTCATACAAATAAGATCCATGAAGAATTTCAGACTATATCACCAAGACCTCTGATTAGCTGACTCATTTAAAACATGTAAAGTGTAGAACCCTTTCTTTTGAAATAATCTAAATCGAGAATCGATAGGAACCAGAATTGAAACAAGGAATTGGAATTAGAACCAAATCATCAATCAATCAAATTCAAACTATGTCCAACTGTAATGGAGAGTTGTGCATGGACGCCCCTGTTCTGGTAGTGCTTGGTAAGTCATTCCACATCTGTGGAACAACACGTGAAGAGTCTGGATTGTCCTGAGCATGATGTAGGCGCCGCTAGCTGATGATCCTTTGATGACCGGAGTGGCCGATTGTGTTTAACAGGGACAAATTTTTTCCCCTCATTCTCCTTCACCTCTTCATGACACCTCTAAACTCATATTTCCTGTCATTTTCATCTATGAATAAAACACTTGCTGCATATCTTTTTACTTCTCCAGTCATGGGTGAATAAACATTCATATTTTTAGAGTTTTTCTGCGTGGTATTCTTAAAGCTGCTCTGTGTCTGCCGCTACATATCGTCAGCTCTTTATTTATTTGTTTATTTATTTTGAGGGCGCAGTGGCAGTTCTCTTGACTAATATAAAGGAAGCGGTGTCCTGACCAGTCACAAGCGATTGTGCTCCGTCTTGTTTGACGGATGTTAAGTAAAAAAAAAAGATACGTAGCACAACTCAGCCTGTCCTTGCGAGCCTGCCGGAGGGCCCTCTCAAGGACGGACCAAAGCAATGCGTGTCTCCGTACCAATGCAGAAGCATAAACCAGACAAAACCGCTCCAGCTGGTAGAACATTTAGAAAATTTTAATTGTAGGCCACTGTTGTGATTAAGGGTAAATATCTCAGCAATGTCCATTTTAATCCTTCAATTTTACATAAAATAAGTTTGTAGACTTGGAATGAAACAAAATAAATTTCCTAAAAACCGGGGCTGGGAGCTCAGCAGTTGCAGCGTATGACTGGCGTGGCGCCGGAGTGGTGGCAGGATGCACTCTCCTAGACAAACCTAGCTTCAGGGCCTCATCATCCCTCGAGCATAATCCACACCCTAGCAAGCAGCACGCATGAGGTGAGTATCCCACAAGGAGATTTTGTTCCCGCAGGGGCAGAGCTTGGGGCTCTCCTTGGCAATGTCAGCTGTAGTTGCAGTGGCCATTTTCGGCTACCACTAGTAAGCTGTGTCAGTGTTCTCAAAACTTGTGCAACTAATGAAAAATAAAATAATTCAATTCAATTTTATTTATATAGCGCCAAATCACGACAAGAGTTGTCTCAAGGCACTTCACATAGCAAACATTCCAATTCAGGTCAGTTCATTAAGCCAATCAGAAATAATGTTTCCTATATAAGGAACCCAGCAAATTGCATCAAGTCACTGACTAGTGTCAGAGTCTTTACAGCAATCCTCATACTAAGCAAGCATATAGCAACAGTGGAGAGGAAAACTCCCCTTTAAACAGGAAGAAAACCTCCAGAGAATCCTGGCTCAGTATAAGCAGCCATCCTCCACGACTCACTGGGGATCGAGAAGACAGAGCACGCACACACACACTTACACTCACACAACATATATACCAAGTAGCATATCTATGGTTGCATTCTGATTTCGTAGTAAATATTCTATTGAGAGATAAACTTTATTATATTTATCGTAGTGAATCTATAATTAAACAGATAAACTAGTAGTAGCAAATTAAATGTCAAAGAAAGTAAAAAGTTATCAGGAGAGGGAGAATGATTAAGTGGTTAGCAGCAGTGTGCTAGCCGATGGCCCCCTCCATGAGGCCACAGCTCAGCAGAACATCAGTGTAGCTTCTTCTGGGGAGAAAAACACTTAGAGAAAAAATAAAGTTAACAGCTAAAATTGCAGAAAATAATACAGTTAAAGAGCAGATTGTAGAAGAAAGTGTTGTAGAAAGTGTGGAAAGTGGTCAGTGTATCCTCCAGCAGTCTAAGCCTGTAGCAGCATAACTACAGAGATAACTCTGGATAACCTAGCCTTTTAGATGGAGGCATGTTGGAGGCAGGGCAAGGGAGAGTCGTCTTTACCGACTGTATTATCCACCTCCCTCTACTCCCCCACTTGTCCAGATGTAGGCTAACATCATATTTTAACCATAGGCCCTATCAAATAAAAATGTTTTAAGCCTAGTCTTAAAAGTAGACAAGGTGTCTGCCTCATGGACTAAGGCTGGGAGTTGGTTCCACAAGAGAGGAGCCTGATAGCTAAAAGATCTCCCTCCCATCATATTTTTAGATATTTACACCAGTAAACCTGCAGTCTGAGAGCGAAGTGCTCGGTTAGGAACATATGGAACAATCAGATCACTGATGTATGATGGAGCTTGATTATTAAGAGCTTTGTATGTGAGAAGAAGGATCTTAAAATCTATTCTGAATTTAACAGGTAGCCAATGTAGGGAAGCTAAGACAGGAGAGATATGATCTCTCTTTGTAATTATCATCAGAACTCTAGCTGCAGCATTTTGGACAAGCTGAAGACTTTTAACTACATTCTGTGGACTTCCTGAGAGTAATGAATTACAGTAATCCAGTCTTGATGTAATAAATGCATGAACTAGTTTTTCAGTATCACTCCTGGAAAGGATGCTTCTAATCTTAGCAATATTCCGAAGGTGGAAAAAGGAAATCCTACAAACCTGCTTAACATGGAATTTGAATGAAATGTCCTGGTCAAAGATGACACCAAAGTTCCTTACTTTTTTCTCTGAGATTAATGCCATTCAGGTCAGGTGATTGACTAAGCAATTTCCTTTTCTGAATTTCAGTATTACTATTTCACCCTGTTAATATACGATATTTCTACCAGAGTGTGTCGGGTATTGCTACTCGAAAATGAATTGTGTGGCTAGTCTAAAGGAGTATTGCTACTTCTATGAGCTAGCGTGCAACCGTATGGTTGAGAACTAGTGACAGAGTTGTGCACTCAGGCCCTGTCCACACGTAGCCGGGGATCTGCCAAAACGTAGATATTTTCCTACATTTTGGCCTGTCATCCACACGAAAACAGAGTTTTTTCACACGAAAACGGATCTTTTTAAAAACTCCGGCCAAAGTGAAGATCTGTGTTTTCTCCGTTTTGGGTGTCTGCATGTGGACGGACAAAACCGGAGTTTTAAGGTCCGCAATGTCACTTTCCGTGACAAAAAATGCTGACATCACGTGTGCGACCTGTGTTTACACTAGCCGGCATCATGGAAGCCTTCAGAGCTGCGCTCTGTCACTATCCGATCCATCAATTGTCCAAGCGCTTTCTGCTTGTTTGTTTTTGCAAGCGGAATTACTGCTCCTTGTGGAAGACCACAGACGAAGGACGAGGTTAAGAACGGGGGAAGTACTGCCGCCTACAGGTCTGGCATGTCCTTAACAACGTATTTATCCGGGTACGTGTGGACAGAGTTTTTTTTTAAAACGCTGTGGTGTGGATGCAAGTTTTTGGAGGGGCGGATATTCATTTTTAAAAAATCCCGGCTACGTGTGGACTAGGCCTCAGTCTACGGAAATTTCAGCTTAGCTCCCAGTGGTACAGTTGCATAAAGGCTTCTGAGAGAAGTGGGAAGAGGAATTTGAATGATGAGTGACACTATGTTAGCCCTATTTAGGGTGAGGGTCTGACTCCTCCTGTCATAGACGTCACCTACGCCAGCCAACTACAGCTGGAGTAATGATATTTAAGCTTCTGACGAGGTCACACAGGAGGCGTTCCCCACAGTGAGACACGAAATGAATGCTGTGAAAGAACTAGCATCAGCATTGCATTCCCTTGATGGAATGAACTAGCCTGGCAAGCCAGACTAAATAAATGCATTATTTAGTCTGGCAACGCTCCATTGACGGCTCTTGGTTGTGGGGCGGGATCTACCGTTGTCTTTCAAATGATCTCCGCATTCCACTGGACAATGAATGTGTCATACTCTTGTTTCACTCTATTGCATCATCCCACCCACCAGGCATATAGAGTGCCCTGATTGGCCCACAAAGCTGATAAAGCTCTGTGATTTGTTCACTAAGCAGATAGAGCACTATGATTAGCCCACCATTATGGACCAATCACAGCTCTTTATGTATTTGAAACCCCTCCAGAGAGCTGTGATTTGCCAGCCAGAGTCCTGGTAGGAGCTGCTGAGGTTCCAATGGAGCATGCCTAGACCAAACTTTGCAAAGCAAGAATTTGGTCTAGTTCACTAGGCTAGGAATTAACTGAAGGATCATCAAAGTCTGAGGAGTCATGCTGAGGCTGCATGCTTTCTGCTCCACATGTAACAACATTCATCATAATGTGTTTTTGAGCTAGCGATAGTCACATCAATACGGTGCCAACCTACCCTGAAATGTATGTATTGCCCCCCTAGCTACACACTGCCACTTTAACCATCGGACATCGCCAACTCTAGTCGTTACTATGCAGTGGGTTTGTTGGTTAGAAACACAGAATTCCTAGTGTGTGTGTGTGTGTGGGGGGGGGGGGGGACTGGTGAAATTCATGTCCACATTTGATTCATCCCTGTGGGGAGCTGTGGCTGCACCCGGGAATTATCTGGTGGTTTAATCCTCTTAAAGCTCAGTGTCAAGCAGGGAGGCATTGGGTCCCATTTTTAAAGTCTTTGGTATGATCCAAACGGGATTTGAACCCTGATCTTCCAGTCCCAGAGAGGACACTCTACTACTAGGCCACTGAGAAGGTGCTCCATTACAAGATCTGATAACTTTAAATAAATATTTATACTGAATTTAAATTAGGTTAATTACACAGATAGAACTAAAGTGAACTTGTGGGACTGTGTTTAGGTTTAGTGACTATTGCAAGGCGTGTCCTTCTGTATCAACCTCATTGTTGTCAGGCTGACTCTGACTGTCTCTCTGCAGCGAGTTCCTGGGGAAAACCCCAGGGCAAAGCGTTCAGAGATGGGTTCCTTCACGAAGCACTAGACGAGATGTCAACTCCAGCAACGAAAAAGAGCGACACGATGCAATCTTCAGGAAAGTGAGGGGGTAAGGTTGGCAAATCATTTCTAGTGGTAACTTAATAGAAAAAACCAGAACTTGTGTGCTTATCAAGAAGATACCAAGCAGCTTTTGGTGAAGCCATTCAAATCCTCGTGTGAGGCCAGAGAAACGTTTCTGTTGCTCTCTGCTGTTGTGTTTGCTAAACAAAGTTAAGGCTAGTCATTATAGCTGGCTCTGCTGAAGGCCCTTTAGTCCTTGTCTGCATCAGGGCATGTTTACCAACAGCAATGATGAGAGGAGTTTCCTCAGGAATGTAGCTCACCTCTGAAGACAGAACCATGTCGCTATGGACAAACCAGAGTATTTGGATCAGGTTAAGCATTTTTACATGCAGTTTCTTAACCCCTGCTGCTCCACCCTTCCCCTCCTGTTTTTGTTCATCCAGCATACTCAACAAACTCACGCCTGAGAAGTTTGACAAGCTATGCCTTGAGCTCCTGAATGTGGGCGTAGATTCAAAACTCGTCCTTAAAGGAATCATCTTGCTGGTGAGAGCAGAGTTCTGCTAAGTGGTGTATCTGTCTCTCCTTGGCAGGCTGTGCTGCGTGACTCATTCCCTCGTAATGGCCTCTGTGGCTGCGTTCTGATTTGTTTCAGATTGTAGACAAAGCCCTAGAAGAGCCGAAGTATAGCTCGCTCTATGCTCAGCTATGTCTGCGCTTGGCAGAGGACGCTCCAAACTTTGATGGCCCTTCATCTGAGATCCAAACATCCCAAAAGCAGAGCACAGTGAGTTCAGGAGCCAGGGTCGTGTTGCAGTAGCATGTTTTTTTTCCATGTTAACACCTTCTTTTAATTTGTTTTATTTTGTAGACCTTCAGGAGACTGCTGATTTCCAAGCTTCAAGATGAATTTGAAAACCGCACCAGAAATGTTGAAAGTATGATCTGAAAGTTATTTATGATGAATAAACATTAGAAAATTCTCAGTTAAACTCAGTATTTCAGTGCTAACATGCTTCACTGATGGAAACCATTTCAGTTCATCCTACATAATTATGTTGTTTCTGTTCCTACTCGACTGCTGCAGGTCAAACACCCAAAATAATAGTTTCAGTTACGTAACAAACATGATGTGTAAAGTCAGTCTAAACATGGACTACTGGGTTTCCTGCTGAGTGAGGACTTGTATTTTAAGGTTTAAGGTTTAGAAAAATCAGCTGAGCTGACATGGTAGAGTTAGCGCGGTGCCCTAGCTGTGGGGGCTAACCGCATCACGTCCTCAACAACTGTACTATTAAGGTTTTTGCTGTTCCTCTTTTCTCCCAGTCTATGACAAACATGACAACCCTCTCACCTCTGAGGAGGAGGAGCAGCGCGCTATCGCCAAGATCAAGATGCTTGGCAACATTAAATTCATCGGGGAACTTGGCAAGCTCGACCTCATCCATGAATCTATCCTTCATAAGTGCATCAAAACAGTGAGTTCTTCTTGTGTGTCAGCATACATCAAAGTAATGAATGTAGGAAGTGTTAGTCGGACTGACCTGGTGTGACCTTTTGTCTCAATGTTTGTGAAGCTTCTGGAAAAGAAGAAGAGAGTCCAGCTCAAAGACATGGGGGAGGATCTGGAATGCCTCTGTCAGATAATGAGAACTGTGGGGCCGAGACTCGACCACGAGAAAGCAAAGGTAGGGGAACCACCTGAGGTCCTTCTGGTTGGGTGAACTGTGTCTTAGTTTCAGGTTAGGTTAGCACTTGCTTAGCTTACCCTCTGAACTACTTGGGTCATTACTAATATCAGTTTAACTAGCACTTACTCCCTCCGTCTTCCTGTCCTTTCAGTCTTTAATGGATCAGTACTTTGGCCGTATGCGATCCTTAATGAACAACAAGGAGTTGCCTGCAAGGATCCGCTTCCTGCTGCAAGACACAGTGGAACTGCGTGAAAACAACTGGGTCCCCCGCAAGGCCTTCATTGATAACGGACCAAAGACGATTAATCAAATCCGTCAGGATGCAGTGAGGGTGAGTCTGGTCCTTCTCAACAACAGAGAGGTAGTTGGATCCAACAGAGATCCACAAAATAGAACAAAGATTATCTTTCCTAAAGTCTTTGGACTTGGTTTGTTTACACAGATTCTTATTTCTCTACTTAGGATTTGGGTGTTTTCATCCCAGCACCCATGTCTCAGGGGATGAGGATGGATTTCTTCCTTGAAAGCCCTTTCATGCCCAACAGAATGAAATTGGACAGGGAGACTCTGGGAGGATTGGCCGACATGTTTGGACAGATGCCAGGTACGTATGTGTGTTCCCTTTGGTCACGCTACACGAGAGGTCTGCAGCCTGTTTACCATTTCAAATCAAGTTAAGTTGATATCCAGACTCTTCATTTTCATTTTAAGTGTTGACCTAAAATAAACTAGCAACGTGTTCCTTTTGAAACTCATCTCTGCCTTGAAACTTCTAGTCATCAAGAAGTGAAACTAGAGAGTGATTCTGTGGTGGGAAAACTGCTAAATATAACCTCCTGAGTAACAAAGAGCTGAACCTTTGTTTTCTCAGGCAGTGGGATTGGAACTGGCCCGGGCGTTATTCAGGACAGGTACTCTCCCACGATGGGACGCCATCGCACCAATCCGCTCTTCAACGGCCACATCGCGCCACCTCCTCAGTCACAGTTCGACGTGGGGCCCAAGCCTTTCGTTAAGTCCAATCAGGTGAGCCACTTGTGGTTGTTTTAAAAAATAGATTTAGTTTTTATTTATCTTGGGAAACCCCTCCCACCAGACAGCTCCTTCAGAAGCAGACAGAGACATCCCACATGTAAACTGGAACGCTACTGTAGGTCATTCACCCCCTCTGCAGTAGGAGCGTACAACTCCTCAGGTTAACTGGTACTGGCATTATCCTGTTACGCAATAACATCAGCTATATTCAGTATGTGTTCAGTAGCTGGATTGTGTCTGTCCGGTATGTGATTCCTTCTTGGAAATGCAGTTTTCTACTTTTATTCATATTTTATTTGCTGAAGGTAACAATAACAGCTTTTGTGTATTTACCTGTACAAGTTGTCCTGCTCTCTGAGTGTGTGTGCTGCATTAACGTGAGTTTCGCCACTGTGGGATTCTTTTTTTAACCCCCCCCCCCCACACACACACACACACACACCCTCTACCCCCGCTGTTACTTTCTACAGGTTCAGAACCAGCATTTCCTTAACCAGAACCAGAGCCATATGAGCCAGTCGCAGGTGCAGTCCAAGGACATGCCTCCACGTTTCAGCAAGAAAGGACAGCTCAATGCCGACGAGGTGAAACGGCTAACAGCCTTTTCTTTTCCTGAGTCTGAATGCCCGGTGATTATAAAAAGACGCGTTATTCTGAGGAACAAAACCTGCTATTAGTGCTTCTCTCCTCTCTCCTCTTCCATTTCTTCTCCTTTACCCCTCCTCTTCCTTCCTAACTAGTAGCAGGTCCAATGATTGCGATTATGAGATATGAGGGCGTTAAGTCTATCAGCAACAAAAACTCTGAATGTTTGACTTTCTGCCACCTGAAGCCATGTTTTGCTGTTTGGTGGGTCCAGATCAGCCTCAGGCCAGCACAGTCATTCCTTCTCAACAAGAACCAGGTCCCAAAGCTTCAGCCTCAGATTCCAACCATGATGCCTCCCAGTTCTCAGCCTCCCCGCACCCAGACCCCTCCTCTAGGACAGGTGGGAGACACGAACAGAATCGATGCAGCTCATTTCAGACGTGAACATGAATCACATTGTAAAACCTTGTTTTGGGACACTTAATTCACGTTACATCTAAAGGAGTTCCATGACCTTTGCCCTCAGCCTCCACAGCTTGGCCTGAAGACCAACCCTCCTCCCATCCAAGAGAAACCTCAGAAAACGAGCAAGAAGCCACCTCCTGCCAAGGAGGAACTGTTGAAAACCACAGTGAGTCATTATTTGGTCTCCCTTGAAACACAAGATCCAACCCTGATTCCTTTCTCTGCACTTTCATCTCCAGGAGGCGGTAGTGACGGAGTTTTTGAACACGAAGAACCTGACTGAGGCTGTGAACGGCGTGCGGGAGATGAAGGCACCAAAGCATTTCCTGCCAGAGATGCTCAGCAAGATTGTGGTGTGTTCCCTGGACCGGCCAGATGAAGACAAGGAGCACGCCAGCACTCTGATCCACACTCTCCGTACTGAGGGTCTAATCACTGGAGAGAACTTCATGCAGGTCCGTTTAGCCACGGTTCTCCCACAACATACTCGTTCAGATACCTAAGTAGTCCCATTTTAGGTCTAGTCCGTTTCTGAACTATCCTCCTAATGCTGACAGGTTTTATAAGCTAAAATGTTCCAGATAATTAAACGCTACGGAGTTTCAGATCATTTTATAGGTTGTAAAGAACTGAAAATGGGCGTTGGAATTTGCAGCATGAAGTCTTGTTTTGAGTTTCAGCTCCCACCGCTGCTGTTTGGGTTTACTGCCAACATTCTGGTTCTCTTCAGGCTTTCCTCAACGTCCTGGACCAGTGCCCTAAGATTGAGGTGGCTGTGCCCCTGGTGAAGTCCTACCTGGCCCAGTTTGCTGCCCGGGCCATCATAGCCGAGCTGGTGAGCGTAACGGAGCTAGCTCATCCCCTGGAGAATGGAACCCACTTCCCCCTCTTCCTGCTCTGCCTGCAGCAGACAGCCAAGCTGAAGGACCGCGAGTGGCTCACGGAGCTCTTCCAGTTCAGCAAGGTCAACATGCAGAAGATGCTACCAGGTAAAAGCATAGTGGTGGTCAGTGTCACAACCATCAGACTCTAGTTTTATTGATTCACCATCTGTCTCTGTCTGACAGAAATCGATCAGAACAAGGACCGTATGCTGGAGATTCTGGAAGGGAAGGGGCTGAGCTTCTTGTTCCCGCTGCTGAAGCTGGAGAAGGAGCTGCTCAAGCAGATAACGTCAGACCCCTCTCCACAGTCCATCTACAAGTGGATTAAAGACAACATCTCGCCCAAGCTGCACACCGATAAAGGCTTCGTCAACATCCTCATGACAAGGTAAGTGATGTCAGGAAGGCTCGACCAGTCCAGGGTGCCCTGGTTTGTTCTGGTTAGATGTAGCTGGTGTGGGTTTGGTCCAAACTCCAGAGGTTTAACCAACCAACGTGATTGTTTCCCAGTTTCCTGCAGTACATCTCCCAGGAGCTGGGTGTGGCAGAGGGCGATGATCAGCTGGCAGCCCCCCCCAAAGAACATCTGGAGCAGGAAAAGCAGCTGCTGCTGGCCTTCAAGCCTGTCATGCAGAAGTTCCTGCACAACCACACCGAGCTGCAGGTCAGCGCCCTCTACGCATTGCAGGTGCACTGCAACGCCAACGGGTTTCCAAAAGGTACACCTCATATCCTCTAGGCTGCTCGGCTTGCTTTGATTGGGTTTGTTCCGTGTTTTTTATTTTTTGTAGTTTTTCGTCTTCACAGAGCAAATAGAGCTTGTTTTTACTTTTGCTGACATGTTTCAACATCCACCGCCGCCTTCGTTAGAGCAACCGCCGACGTTGGTGGTGTCACTTCTGTTTATGGATCAGAGAAGCGTGGACCCAGGACCGTGAACGGGGACGAAGAGTTTACACGCTGGACCACTCATGGGACTCGGTGATCAACAGAGAAGGCCCTCGTCCTCTGCTGCCCACAGATAAGCGGAAGTGATGCCACCAACATCGGTGGTTGCTCAGACGACGGTGGCAGTAGACGTCGAAACGTGTCAGCAAAGGTAAAAACAAGCTCTATTTGCTCTGTGTGATGAAGATCCACAGAAAATGAAACCAGGTTTTGTTTGTGTATATTAAGTGATGTAAGATGTGCGTTTGTAGAAAACGGCACTTTTTAAAATTCCTGTTTGTGTAAAATGATTTTTTCCAACCAGGCATGCTGCTGCGTTATTTTGTCAACTTCTACGACATGGAGATCATTGAAGAAGAAGCCTTCCTTGCATGGAAAGAAGACATCACCCAAGAATTCCCTGGAAAAGGAAAAGCTTTATTCCAGGTAGTCGCTGACACTTGTAGCCTGGGGACTTCATGTCTGAGTGAAACCTTTCCTGACCATCTGAATGATTTTCCTGCAGGTAAACCAGTGGCTCACCTGGCTTGAGACGGCGGAGGAGGAGGAGTCTGAGGACGAAGCAGACTGAATCATTGTGGCATATATCGACGTTGTTAACTCGCCTTTCCTTTTCTTGAACATCATACTTAATGTAACCACTAGCAGGTGGTGCTAGGCTGCTTCTGTTCTGTTGATGCAAACGGCTGCAGGGCCTGGTGAGTCCAGCGTCACCGCTGGGCCCAGAGGCATCGATCTGCTGCATCTCATCTGATCACACATGGTTCTTTTGTTTTCATACTTTTTCACTCCGCATGTTTTTCATGAAATAGTTCCTAACCTGAATCTGCTGTTTTAGGAAACTGCTTTATTTAAGGATGCGTCAGACTTCCCCTAATGGTTATCTTAACTAATGATGGTTAAGTCAGCAGCAAAGCAAAAGTAAAAATCAGGACTTTGAACCTGAGATCAGATGGAAACAGCTTGATAGTTTCTGGCCAGGATCTTCTCTTCTTGTTTTCTGATCCAGTTCGTCTCTGAGTGGCTGCACCCTCCAGATGTCACAACTTCAAACAAATTGACATCAGTGTGCCACTAACATTTCAAAATGGCCTGTTTCTACCTCTTAGTTAGATGGGCTTTTTGAGTTTGGGGTTTTATGCTGGGATGATAATGAAACAGAAGAACTGCGAGTCCAAACTGAAGATTTGAGTATGTTGTTTTGTCCTTTGATTGCACATGTGAGTGAAGCAGATGCGTTCAGAGGAGCTTCCTGTGGTTTACAAGTATTAATATTCACGAGTGAAAGGTTTTTAATTCGGCAGCTTAGCACCCTCGTAGAAACTGACCCTCTAACTGGAGTTTTGTTGCTCTGTTTGGAACGATCATTACCCAAGTGGCTTATTTTATTTGGATGTAGAAAAGGAGATGCGATTGTTAAAATGGTGATATGAAAATTAGAAACATTGTGTAATAACTTGTGATTCCCTAATCGTAACAGCAAAATAATTCAATAATGCTTAAGATTTGTGCTCACAAGTCTTTTTATGTGTCGGGCAGTGGATTTGGACCTTATAGTATGGTATTCAGAATTATTGTACACCTATTGCTTTAATGTCAATAAAGTCCAGTACATGAGCACCAGAACTGTTTCTTCTCTCATTCACAAATTTTCCCTCTCCTCTGCTCCTGATGGGTCTGAGTAGATGGGATGGAGGCATCACTCCTGGTCTGTTGGGATCCAGAAGTAATCCACCACCTTTCTGCTTCTCCGTTGATGAGCGGAGTCAGGCCGCTCTCCTCCAAAAGCAGGCAGCTCGTCAAAGTGACTCGGACCCACATCCCTCCCTACTTGTGGGGCAGAAATCCTCAACATGGTCCTGAAAATGGGAATTTTGTTAAAATCCAGTTTGTATTTCTGTAACAAACCATCCCAGTTAACAAATAATCTGAAGCTCCTTGGTGTCTGCAGGCTTGCTTACCTGGATGAACTCCTGTCGGCTTCCTTAGGACCAGACTCAGGAGTGCTGATGTAAACCGGATCTCCCTCCTGAGTTAAAGTGGCACAACAAAAGAAGTTAAATGGTACAGTTTCAAACCCATTCCAAGTGATTCAGTGATTCTCACCGTAAAATTCTTTGGACTACCATCTGGGTTTTTAAGGATTTTAACACGCTGGTCGCTTTCTGTCATACATAAGAAGTAGCTCTTGATGTTCACTTGACACTGTTAGGAAAAATATCGTAACGTTTAACTGAACAGAAGCAGAACACTTAAGACAAAAACTATTTTTTAAGTTCATGAATGGGAAAAGGTGAGACTGAATATGCTAACTGAATAACAAGTGTATATACATGTGCGGGTCATAAAATTAGAATGAAAAAGTTATCCCTTCATGACCACCATGTACCCATCCTCTGATGGCTACTTCCAGCAGGATAATGCACCATGTCATAAAGCTCCAATCATTTCAAACTGGTTTCTTGAACGTGACAATGAGTTCACTGTACTGCAACGGCCCCCACGCTCACCAGATCTCATCCTGATAGAGCATCTTTGGGATGTGGTGGAACGGGAGCTTCGTTGCCTGGATGTGCATCCCACACATCTCCATCAGCTGCAAGATGCTATCCTATCAAAATGGCTGACATTTCTAAAGATATTTTCAGCACTTTGTTCAATCAACGCCACATAGAATTAAGGCAGTTCTGAAGGTGACAGGGGGTCAAACACCGTATTGGTATGGTGTTCCTGGTAATCCTTTGGGTGAGTGTAAATTGGATTCATTCATTACACAGACTGATATATTTCAAATGTTTATTTTGTTAATGTTTAATTATACCTGACAAGTAATGAAAGTCCCAAATCCAGTATCTCAGAATATTAGAAAATCAGTTTAAGACCAATGCAAAAAGTAAAGATTATTAGAAATGTTGGCTGACTGAAAAGCATGAACATTAATAGTATGAGCATGTACAGCACTCGGTATTAAGTTGGGTCTTTCACCTGATTACTGAGCAATGCAGCGTGGCATGGAGTCCATCAGTCTGTGGTTCTAAGAGCCCGTGCTGCTCTGATAGTGGCCTTCAGCTCTTCTGAATTGTTGGGTCTGGATTATTGCATCTTCCTCTTCTCAATACCACACAGATGTTCTATGGCGTTTTGGTCAGGTGGGTTTGCTGGCCAATCAAGAACAGGGATACCCTGGTTCTTAATCCAGGCGGTTGCTTTGGCACTGTGTGCAGGTGTCAAGTCCTGTTGGAAAATTAAATCTGCATCTCCATAAAGTTGGTCAGCAGCAGGAAACATGAAGTAATCTAAAACTTCCTGGTAGATGGCTGCGTTGACCTTGGACCTCAGAAAACACAATGGACCAACACCAGTAGATGACATGGCACCCCAAACCATCACTGACTGGAAACCTCAAGCAAGGTTATGTGCCTCTAATCTTGATTTCCAAAAGAAATGTAAAATTTACTTTAATCAGAGAACATAACTTTTGAACACTCGGCAGCAGTCCAGTCCTGTTCGTCTTTAGACCAGGCGAGACGCTGTCTTTCGTTCAAGAGTGGCTTGACACAAGGAATGTGACCGCTGAAACCATGTCTTGCACAGTGGTTTCTGAAGCAACACGTTGAATGGGTTTTCTTTCACAGTCCTCTCCAGGGTGAGGTTATCTCTATTGTTGTACACTTTTTTTCTACCGCATCTTGTCCTTCCCTTCACCTCTCTATTTGGACCTTGGACACAGAGCTCTGTGAACAGCCAACCTCTTCAGCTTTCTCTGAGGTAATCCTGGAGTGATAAAATTACCCAACACCAGTGGTGAATTTTTGCTTTTTGGCTCGTGGCGGGGGCAGCAGTGTTTTTTTACCTTTACTCAGGATGTTGTGGATCAGTGGGCAGAGTAGAATACTTCGAAGACCTCCTCAATCCCACCGGCACATCTTCCAGTGAGGAAGCAGAGTCTGGGGACTTTGAGTTGGGCTCTCCAATCTCTGGTGCTGAGGTCACTGAGGTGGTCAAAAAGCTCCTCTGTGGCAAGGCTCCAGGGGTGAATGAGATCCGTCCGGAGTTCCTTAAGGCTTTGGATGAAGCAGGGATGCATTGGCTGACACGGCTCTGCAATATTGCGTGGACATCAGGGGCAGTTCCACTGGACTAGCAGACCCGGGTGATGGTTCAACTACAGGGGGATTACACTCCTGAGCCTCCCTTGTAAGGTCTATTCAGCGGATCTGGAGAGGAGGGTTCATCGGATTGTTGAACCTCAGGAGGAACAATGTGGTTTTCTTCCTGGCCGTGGAACACTGGACCATCTCTATACCCTTAGGGGGGTCCTGGGGTGGGAGTTTGCCCAACCAATCTACATGTGTTTATGGATTTGGAGAAGGTATTAGACCGCGTCCCTCGGGGGGCCCTGTGGGGGGTACTCTGGGAGTATGGGGTACAAGGCCCTCTGATACAGGCTGTTACAGTGGGGCAAAAAAGTATTTAGTCAGCCACAGATTGTGCAAGTTCTCCCACTTAAAATGACGACAGAGGTCAGTAATTTTCATCATAGGTACACTTCAACTGTGAGAGACAGAATGTGAAAAAAAATCCTGAATTCACATGGCAGGATTTTTAAAGAATTTATTTGTAAATCAGGGTGGAAAATAAGTATTTGGTCAATAACAAAAATTCAACTCAATACTTTGTAACATAACCTTTGTTGGCAATAACAGAGGTCAAATGATTACTATAGGTCTTTACCAGGTTTGCACACACAGTAGCTGGTATTTTGGCCCATCCCTCCATGCAGATCTTCTCGAGAGCAGTGATGTTTTGGGGCTGTCGCTGAGCAACAAGGACTTTCAACTCCCTCCACAGATTTTCTATGGGGTTGAGGTCTGGAGACTGGCTAGGCCTCTCCAGGACTTTCAAATGCTTCTTACGGAGCCACTCCTTTGTTGTCCGGGCGGTGTATTTGGGATCATTGTCGTGTTGGAAGACCCAGCCACGTATCATCTTCAAAGCTCTCACTGATGGGAGGAGGTTTTGGCTCAAAATCTCACGATACAGGGCCCCATTCATTCTGTCCTTAACACGGATCAGTCGTCCTGTCCCCTTAGCAGAAAAACAGCCCCAAAGCATGATGTTCCCAACCCCATGCTTCACAGTAGGTATGGTGTTCTTGGGATACAACTCAATATTCTTCTTCCTCCAAACACGACGAGTTGAGTTTATACCAAAAAGTTCTACTTTGGTTTCATCTGACCACATGACATTCTCCCAATCCTCTGCTGTATCATCCATGTGCTCTATGGCAAACTTCAGATGGGCCTGGACATGCACTGGCTTCAGCAGCGGAACACATCTGGCACTGCAGGATTTGATTCCCTGTAGTGTAGTAGTGTGTTACTGATGGTGACCTTTGTTACTGTGGTCCCAGCTCTCTGCAGGTCATTCACCAGGTCCCCCCGTGTGGTTCTGGGATTCTTGCTCACCGTTCTCATGATCATTTTGACCCCACGGGATGAGATCTTGCGTGGAGCCCCAGATCGAGGGAGATTATCAGTGGTCTTGTATGTCTTCCATTTTTTGATAATTGCTCCCACAGTTGATTTTTTCACACCAAGCTGCTTGCCTATTGTAGATTCACTCTTCCCAGTCTGGTGCAGGTCTACAATTCTTTTCCTGGTGTCCTTCAAAAGCTCTTTGGTCTTGGCCATAGTGGAGTTTGGAGTCTGACTGTTTGAGGCTGTGGACAGGTGTCTTTTATACAGATAGTGTGTTCAAACAGGTGCCATTAATACAGGTAATGAGTGGGGGACAGAAAAGCTTCTTAAAGAAGACGTTACAGGTCTGTGGGAGCCAGAGATTTTCCTTGTTTGAAGTGACCAAATACTTAATTTCCACCCTGATTTACAAATAAATTCTTTAAAAATCCTGCCATGTGAATTCATGGATTTTTTTTCACATTCTGTCTCTCACAGTTGAAGTGTACCTATGATGAAAATTACTGACCTCTGTCATCATTTTAAGTGGGAGAACTTGCACAATCGGTGGCTGACTAAATACTTTTTTGCCCCACTGTAGGTCCCTGTATGACCGGTGTCAGAGCTTGGTCTGCCTTACCAGCAGTAAGTTGAGCTCATTCCCATTGAGAGTTGGACTCCGCCAAGGCTGCCCTTTGTCACCGATTCTGTTCAAAATTTTATGGACAGGATTTCTAGGTGCAGCCAAGGTGTTGAGGGGAACCTTTTTGGCGGCCTGAGGATCAGGTCTCTGCTTTTTGCAGATGATGTGGTCCTGTTGGCTTCATCAGAACGTGATTTCCAGCTTTCGCTGCAGCGGTTTGCAGCCGAGTGTGAAGCAGCTGGGATGAGATTCAGCTCCTCTAAATCTGAGACCATGGTCTTGAGTCGGAAAAGGGTAGAATGCCTTCTTCTGGTCAGGGATGAGGTCCTGCCCCAAGGGGAGGAGTTTAAGTATCTAGAGGTTCACGAGTGAGAGAAAGCTGGAGCGCGAGATCGATAGGTGGATTGGTGCTGAATCTGCGGTGATGCGGGTGTTGTACCGGTCTGTCGTGGTGAAGAGAGAGCTGAGTCAGAAGGCGATAAGAGTAGATTCGCTCTACATCGAGAGGAGCCAGTTGAGGTGGCTCGGGCATCTGATTAGGATGTCTCCTGGACGCCTCCCTGGTGAGGTTTTCCGGGCACGTCCAACTGGGAGGAGGCCTAAATGAAGACCCAGGACACGGTGGAGGGACTATGTCTCTCATCTGGCCAGGGAACGCCTTGGGATTCCCCCGGAAGAGCTGACCCAAGTGACTGGGGAGAGGGAAGTTTGGGCCTCTCGATTTAGGCTGCTGCCCCCGCGACCCGATAAGTGGGAGAAAATGGATGCATGGATGGATGGATGGATATCAGTCTTTGTGTAGTGAATGAAACTAATAGACAAGTTTCACTTTTTGAATTGAATTACTGAAATAATAATCTTTAATTTTATATTCTAATTTTATGACCAGCACCTGTCTTAGAAGTTTCAAAGTCAATTTTATAACTGAATTTCAGTTCTGTAATGAAAAAGCTTCTGGCATGTCCACAGCTCCATTCTTACTGCTTTGTTGCGCCTCTGAGCTTTCAGGTCCTCCTGAATCCGGAAGACGTTTGCTAACTCGTGGTGCTTCTCTCTCCAGCTGAGGCACTCGGACATCTTTTCTTGCTTCTCCTTCTCTGACAGACGTCTCTGGTCCTCGGCCTCCTGCTGAGCCTGGTTTGCTCTTTTGCTTTCCTCCTCTGCTGCTGTTGCTCTGCGCTTCAGATTCATCTCACTGTGAAAACAATGCTAAGAATCAGTTTCAACAACAAATATGCATGATTAAACTTTTGGACTTTGTTGATCCACTCTCACTTCCTTATAGCTCCAGCAGTGAGCAGCAATGAACATTGTGGCATGAATTCATTAACTGAGCAGATAAGCAGAGGAGCCCTGAGGTGGACCCACAGGAAACAGACTGACTGTTCAAACAGTCATTAGTTCAGTCCTTTTGCTAGGGCTACAAGAGCATGGCTAGACCAACCGGCAGTGCAAACACTTTTGCTTTTACTACAATTATTGCTTCAGTCTATATTTGTAGGCTAAGAATGGTAAATGACCTGTATTTGATATAGCGCCTTCTAGAGTCCCGGACCCCCCCCCCCCCCCCCCTCCAAGGTGCTTTAGAACACAATCAGATATTTACCCATTCACACCCTGGTGGGGACGAGCTATACCACAGCTGCCCTGGAGCACACTAATGGGCCATTCCCATCTGTACCGGGTCGGCCCGGGCCGGGTAGCCCCAGTCGGCCCCAGCCTGGCCCGGTTGATTCCACACATCCTTGTCTTAAGCCCATGTGGGCTGATTCTACCCACCAATCAGAGGCTTGCTCTAATGGAAGGTGTGAATGGGCTGATTCTACCCACCAATCAGAGGCTTGCTCTAATGGAAGGTGTGAATTTGCTGTCAGCAGTGGGTGTGTTGGCCCTGGTCGGCCTGAAGCAGACCCCCTCGAGAAGAGGGCTGAGAATGAGCCTTGGTTGGCCCGGAAAAATACCAGGCCACCCAGATATGTAAACAACCTACGCTACCCGGCCCGGGCCGACCCGGTACAGATGGGAATGGCCCATAACAGAGGGCGCCACCGGTCCCTCCGACCAGCAGGCAAGGTGGGTTAAGTGTTTTGCCCAAGGAAACAACGACAGCGACAGACTGAGCGAGCTTCAAACCTGCAATCTTCTGATTAAGGGGTAAGCATTTAACTCCCGTGCCATCGTCGCCCCAAGGATAGCCATGATCCCATAAAAAAGCCCAATTTCTCCTGCTGAAATGTATTTTGGAGCAGTGCATATAGCACCATTGTTTATGAATCTGATACTGAGCAGAAACTGATTGCATGAACAAATGATGTGCATAAAATGCTGCACAAGACAGGTGCAGTGCATTCTTGGTGAATCTGGACCTTAAATGTGTTATTGCCTCCACAAAACAGCTGATGGCATAGAGAACAAGTTTGCATTTCTTTCAACAAACCAAACCAACCTCTCCTTAATCTGAGCATTTTCTTGGGTGACTTGTCTGAGCCTGAGTCTCAGATCATCTCGGTCTCCCTCCAGACTTTTGTTCTCCTGCAGCAGGGCTTGCTTCTCACCAGAGACTCGGTCCAGCTTCAGCTTTGTTTCAAAGTAGTTCTTCTCTGCTTGTGCCAGTGAAAGCTGCAGATCGGTGTGCTGCAGAAGGAGGAGGTGGGTGTCAGAGATCATGACTGATTAGATTTCACTCACTGGTGATGCATGATGTTTACGCCTGAGGCTAATTCAGGGAAAATAATTCTGATTACAGCGAGCATCCGAAAACCCCACATCTGTTCTGTCTAAAGGCAGCTCCACATCAACGTATCATTATGAAGATGATCGTTTTACATAACTACTTCATATTTGTTCCTCACTATGACCCCACCCAGTTCTTTAGATTAATCTGCCATCATTTACCCCTGATTTTATTTCAGACATGCTGCAAATACTGCTAGTTGTTTCCGTTAATTATACAAGAAAATACATTTTCTGTCCAGCGATTTAATCCACATTTCACATCTGTTTTAATAGAAAGCATCTAAGTTGTATCCTCCCTTGCCCAGGGCACAAAGGTGCAGATCTGCTTATGTACCTCCTTTTTGAGCAGCTGCAGCTCCTCACTCAGCTGTCTCCTGTCAGCCTCAGCTGTCTCCTTGTCCCTCTGACAGCCAAGGGCCCGAGCCTCAGCCAAGGCCCTGCTCTTCTCAGCCTCCCCTCTGGTCTCCTCCGCCTCGGCTGCAACTCGAGAACATAACGTCGCCCTCTGCTGGCTCTGATGCAGCGTCTGCTTTAGCTGGAGACAAAACAGGGGGAGGGGTGAGTAAGCTGATTGTTTCAGGAAACTATAGAGGCCTGCCTTTGTTTTTGTCTGTAACACAACTCTGTCAGCTTTAGTGCATTCAGAGATGTAGCACACTGAACGATTTTAGTGTCTTTAACTAGAGTTAGTGTAAAAAACTGGTGAACCCCAGTTTCCCTGCAGACGACCTTGAAACTAATGTGTAATGGCTGGGGATCAGTGGGAGTCATTTTTATGCTGCTCTGTGACAAATAGCAACAACCAGAGAGAGAGCCAGGAAAGTGGAGCCCAATCAACCACTCATTCAACTGAAATCAATTGAACTTTGTACGTTTACTTTGTGTGTGCATGTGTGTGTTTGTGTGTGTACTTGTACAAATATCCTGCTTAGGACCAAAACCGGCATATTCATTAATCTTCTGGAGACCGATGGGCCTTATAGGACCAAAATCCAGTCCTAATAAGGCGGACCCCTGTTTCAAGGTGGGTGGTGTTTAGAGGTAAGATGTGGTTTGGACTACACTGGTTAGGGTTAGGCATAAATGCAGCTACTAAAATGAATGGAAATCCACAAAAATAAACAATCAATGATGAACAAGAGTCTGCTTCTAGACCTGCAGAAAAGGGACACACAACAATACAACAGGAGCAAACTATCACTGCGTCAACCTGATGAGGAAATATAAAATCAACATTGTTTTACTGAACAATCGCCATAATAAACCATAGTGCATTTAGTGCCAACCACATCCTTAAGACATGTGTTGAACGTGCCCAAGTCCATACTTATGAGAGCACCATGTGAGCACCTGTGTGTGTACACGCGCTTGTTTATGTAAGGTTTCTCTATAGGAGCGTCCAATAGAGAGTGTGAGGGGCCACAGATCTGCCCCCAAAGACGTGTAGGAGATAGAAGGAGCTCCAAGTCCCAGAGATCCAGGAGTTGCCCCAGAGCACAGGAACCCCGGGGGGACTGCGACCAGAAAAGCCCCCGCCCCCTCGAGAGGCGCAGAGGATTGCCCTGGGGGCCCACAACCAGCAGCCGGCAGAGCCCCGGGGGATATCAGCGGCAAGCCCACAGGCCCGCCCGCACCCTCCCACGCCCAAGCCGGCCGAGCCCGGAACCCAGCGACCCGGAACCCAACGACCCGGGACCCAGGGGCGACCAGCCCCGCCGGGGACCCAGTAGAGCTCAGGGACCCAGACCCCACCAGGCAGCCACCTGGATTTATCAGTCAGAGTCCAAAAATCTTAAACCCCCTGACCCAGGAGCCGCGAACACTCAGGCAGACCAAGGCACCACACTCCACACCAGGTGTGACGGGTGAGGAGAGTCGAAGAGAGTCAAAGGTCATATAATATTGATTCTTGACAATAATAAACTATAATGAGTGTTTGTCAGCTGTTTCATACTCGTTAATATCTGTTTGTCATGTCTGCGTCTGTGACTTCCCCATGTGTCTCCTTATGTCCTCCATCCCTCTTTAGATTCCCCTTTTGTTGTCCTCTAGCGCCCTCATGTGTCCTTTGTCTGCGTCCATTATGTGTCTTAAGTTGGTAGTCCTTTAAGTCTATTCCTCCCAGGTCTTGGTCTCATTTACATTCTGTGTCCTTGTAGTCCCCAGCTTCTTTGTCCCCAGCTCTGTGTGTGTAGTTCTGATGGTGTGTGTGTTAGTCCTTCCCGCAGCCTCTTGGTTTAGTTTTGTGTCTTAGTGTTTAGGTTATTTGGCCCTCCTCTGTTTCTGTTTGCCCATTTTGATTATTAGGTTCACCTGTCTTCCCTCCATCCCTCACTTCACACACCTGCCGCCATTTTCCCTAATCACTTCTCCCTGTGTATATAAGCTCTGTCTTGTCTGTGTCTGGTGTCGGATCATTGTCGTTTGTGCATGTTCGTTCGTCCTGTTGCTCCCAGTCTACGATTAAACATCTTTTTATTTTTTCATCCGTCTGCCTGATCTTCTGCCTCCTGAAACCCACCACCACACATGGTCTGCCATCTCCACCCGCAGAACATGACACTGTTCACGTAACGTAGCTTAGCGCGTTAGAGAGAAAGAGAGAGACATCTGTCATCCAAGAGAGGGTGGGTAGATCTGAGCCAGTTCCGACCCAGAAACCAGCGTCCCTGGTCCAGTAGGAATTTTTTTAAAACATCCCCTTCTGGAGGTTGGGGTGTGGGGGTTCTGAGCTGGTTCTGATCCAGAAACCAGATTCTCTGGCCTGCTAGGAGTTTTTTAAGCTGCCTATCTTCTTCTGGAGCTCAGCACAGACCTTCCTGAGCTGGATCAGACACTGATCTGGGCTCTAGGAGCTTGCAGGTATTTTTCAAAACTCTGCCACGGGGCTCTTGAGGCCAGCACAGACTTCCCTGTTCTGGTTCTACTCAAATCCCCTCGTGGATTTCTGAGCTTCTTAACTTCTCCCAGCCTGAGCAGGGAATGTGTGTGCGTGGCCAACTCCAGCCTGTTGTCTTAAAGTGACAGAGCCCTAAAACGGCTCATTCTGGAAGGTACGGAAAACGTCAAGAATCAAACTGCTAAAATTGCTTTTTGTGAGAGGGGTTTAGGGCAAAAAACATTTTTCATATTGATTATAGAACTCTCCTCCTTGAACCGTCACCTTATCGTGGTGGAGGAGTTTGAGTGCCCTAATGATCCTAGGAGCTATGTTGTCTGGGGCACTTAGTGCCCCTGGTAGGGTCTCCCATGACAAATTGGTCTTAGGTGAAGGGTGAGACAAAGAACGGTTCGAAGGATCTTTCATGGCGGTTAAAACGAAGAGTCGGAGTACCCGGCCCGGAGGGTTACCGGGGTCCCACCCTGGAGCCAGGCCTGGGGTTGGGGCCCGTGAGCGAGCGCCTGGTGGCCGGGCTTTCGCCCATGGGGCCCGGCCGGGCCCAGCCCGAACCGGATACATGGGCTCGTCCAACTGTGGACCCACCACCCGCAGGAGGAACATGAAGGGTCCGGTGCAATGCGAATCGGGTGGCAGACCAAGGCGGGAGCCTTGGCGGTCCAATCCCTGGACAAGAAAACTAGTTTTTGGGACATGGAACGTCACCTCGCTGGCGGGGAAGGAGCCGGAGCTTGTGGCAGAGGTTGAGCGGTACCGGCTAGATATAGTCGGACTCACCTCGACACATTGCATTGGCTCTGGAACCCGAGACCTGGAGAGGGGTTGGACACTCTACTTTGCTGGAGTTGCTCTGGGTGAGAGGCGGAGGGCTGGGGTTGGCTTTTTGTTAGCCCCGAGACTCTCTGCCTGTGTGTTGGGGTTTACCCCGGGGGACAAGAGGGTAGCTTCCTTGTGCCTTCGGGTCGGGGAACGGGTCCTGACTGTTGTTTGTGCTTATGGGCCAAATATCAGTTCAGAGTACCCACCCTTTTTGGAGTCCCTGGGACGAGTGCTAGATAGTGCTCCATCAGGGGACTCCATTGTCCTGCTGGGGGACTTCAATGCTCACGTGGGCAATGACAGCTTGACCTGGAGGGGTGTGATTGGGAGGAAGGGCCCACCTAATCTGAACTCGAGCGGTGTTTTGTTATTGGACTTCTGTGCAAGCCGCAGTTTGGCCATAACGAACACCATGTTCGAACATAAGGATGCCCACCGGTACACTTGGTACCAGGGCAGCCTAGGTCACAGGTCGATGATAGATTTTGTAGTCGTATCATCTGACCTGCGGCCGTATGTTTTGGACACCCGAGTGAAGAGAGGGGCGGAGCTGTCAACTGATCACCACCTGGTGGTGAGTTGGATCAGATGGCAAGGGAACATGCCGCGTAGACCTGGCAGACCCAAACGCATAGTGAGGGTCTGCTGGGAACGCCTGGCAGAAGAACCTGTCAACTCCCACCTCCGGCAGAGCTTTGACCACGTCCCGAGAGCAGTGGGGGACATTGAGTCCGAGTGGGCCTTGTTCCACTCTGCGATTGTCGAGGCGGCTGTTGCTAGCTGTGGTCGTAAGGTGGCCGGTGCCAGTCGTGGTGGCAACCCCCGTACCCGCTGGTGGACACCAGAGGTTCGGGGAGCCGTCAGGCTGAAGAAGGAGGCCTACAGGGCGTGGCTGGTCTGTGGGTCTCCGGAGGCAGCAGACAGGTACCGGATAGCCAAGCGGGGTGCAGCAGTGGCAGTTGCCGAGGCAAAATCTCGGGCGTGGGAGGAGTTTGGTGAGGCCATGGAGAAAGACTATCGATTGGCTCCAAAGAGGTTCTGGCAAACTGTCCGGCGCCTCAGGAGAGGAAGGCAGCAACTCGCTCACACTGTTTACAGTGGGGATGGGGAGCTGCTGACGTCAACTGATGCTATAGTCGGACGGTGGAAGGAATACTTTGAGGAGCTCCTCAATCCCACCAATGCGCATTTCGAGGAGGAACCAGAGCTGGGAGGCCTGGGGATGGACTGTCCGATCTCTTTGGCAGAAGTTGCTGAGGTAGTCAAACAACTACACAGCGGCGGAGCCCCGGGGGCGGATGAGGTTCGTCCTGGGTATCTCAAGGCTATGGATGTTGTAGGGCTGTCATGGTTGACACGTCTCTACAACATTGCGTGGTCTTCGGGGGCAGTTCCTAGGGAGTGGCAGACCGGGGTGGTGGTCCCCATCTTTAAGAAGGGTGACCTGAGGGTGTGTTCCAACTATAGGGGGATCACACTCCTCAGCCTCCCTGGAAAGGTCTACGCCAAGGTACTGGAGAGGAGGGTCCGATCGATAGTTGAATCTCAGATAGAGGAGGAGCAATGTGGTTTTCGTCCTGGCCGTGGAACTGTGGACCAGCTCTATACCCTTGCAAGGGTGATGGAGGGGGCATGGGAGTTTGCCCAACCAATCCACATGTTCTTTGTGGATTTGGAGAAGGCTTATGACCGTGTCCCCAGGGGCACCCTGTGGGGGACGCTCCAGGAGTATGGGGTGGGTGGCTTTCTGTTAAGGGCCATTCAGTCCCTTTACCAGAGGAGCGTGAGTTTGGTCCGCATAGCTGGTAGTAAGTCGGACCTGTTCCCAGTGAGGGTTGGACTCCGCCAGGGCTGCCCTTTGTCACCGGTTCTGTTCATCACTTTTATGGACAGAATTTCTAGACGCAGCCGTGGTGTGGAGTGTGTCGAGTTTGGTGGCAGGAGAATCTCGTCTCTGCTTTTTGCGGATGATGTGGTCCTCCTAGCTTCATCCAGCTCTGACCTTATGCTCTTGCTGGGTAGGTTCGCGGCCGAATGTGAAGCGGCTGGGATGAGGATCAGCACCTCCAAATCTGAGACCATGGTTCTCGACCGGAAAAGGGTGGCTTGCCACCTCCGGGTCGGGGGAGAGGTCCTACCTCAAGTGGAGGAGTTTAAGTATCTCGGGGTCTTGTTCACGAGTGAGGGTAGGAGGGATCGGGAGATCGACAGGCGGATTGGTTCGGCGTCTGCAGTGATGCGGACGCTGAGCCGATCTGTCGTGGGGAAGAGGGAGCTGAGCCAGAAAGCCAGGCTCTCGATTTACCGGTCGATCTACGTCCCAATCCTCACCTATGGTCATGAGCTTTGGGTAATGACCGAAAGAACGAGATCGCGGATACAAGCGGCCGAAATGAGTTTCCTCCGTAGGGTGGCCGGGCTCAGCCTTAGAGATAGGGTGAGGAGCTCGGACACTCGGGAGGGACTCGGAGTAGAACCGCTGCTCCTCCGGATCGAAAGGAGCCAGTTGAGGTGGTTTGGGCATCTGGTCAGGATGCCTCCTGGACGCCTCCCCGGGGAGGTGTTTCGGGCATGTCCTGCCGGCAGAAGGCCCCCGGGTCGACCCAGGACACGTTGGAGAGGTTACATCTCCAATCTGGTCCGGGAACGCCTTGGGGTCCTGCCGGAGGAGCTGGTGGACAAGGCCGGGGAGAGGACGGCCTGGAGCTCCCTAAATGGGATGCTGCCCCCGCGACCCGGACCCGGATAAGCGGAGGAAGACGAAGACGAAGACGAAGAAGATTATAGAACTGTTATAACTTAGAAGAAAGTCATAATATGTCCCCATTAAATAAGATTTGGTGACTCAAACTGTTGCATTAAAGAACAGACAATGCATTTGTTTTTATCGTGTTTTTGTACCTCTTAGAGCTTTGAAAACAAATCAACATGGACCGCTCCCATCATCACCATGTACTGAGGGTCATGTGAGGGTGTGTTTTAGTCTGTTGATTGATTTGCTGTTGGAGACCATGTGCAGTGTACAAACAGACCTCCTTGACTTGCATCTGCAGCTCCTGGTTCAGGTTCCTGAGGTTCCTCATGGTCAGCTCGTTCTCCGAACGCATCACGATCCGCTCCATGTGGATCTCATTTGATAAGTACTTGTTTTCCTTCTTCAGGTCTTCACATTCCTGAGGGAAGTGGATATCATCGGTGATGTGTGATAAGGAGCAAAAGCTGCTGAGTTTTATTTAGAAAATAGAAAATACATAAACGAATAAACTGATAAACCTTCAACTTCAATAAATCTCTATTTCAATTATATTCTTCATTCCATCCATTAGTTGACTTTAATCTCCCTACAGATTTAAAGCCATTTGTGTTTCTTGATCCTAACTACTCTGAAGCTTGAGGTGCATTCCAGACTGGCAGTAAGACGTCAACGCTCATCCCGCGGGTCTGGTTCACAAACCAGCATCATCTTCAGGACTTCTGCTTTTCTGTGGCACCTGGAGCAAATGAAAATCTCAGTAAAACCACAGTAACCTTTGTGAGGAGACTGAGACCTCGATGGCCTCCGGCTCAGAAGCAAAAGCCTGCAGATTGTTTCAAACACGAAGGCTGTCAGCTGTTAGGAGACTCTGCTCTCTCTCGTCTGAGAAGTCAGGATGACCTAACCCGGAAAATCCTGAGGGAAAGCAATAATGGGATTTGTCTTTCTGGAATGTTGATAAATGATTTAGCTGTGTTGGTACTGCCATCGTGGAACTGCTATTAACAGCGTATCCCGATAAAAGCCATGAAACCGTTCATCATTGGCATTCTCTGATTAGGAGGGATTCAGCTGGAGATAAAGAAACATTTAAAAGTTGTTTTTTTTTCTGTTAGTGTTGAGAGAAACAGAAAACTCTCAGAATGTTCAGACTGGAATCTCAGTTCTCACCTTCCTTTTTCGGACCAGCTCTCCTTGGAGGTGATTCAGCTGGAGGAATGAGCCACCAGAGCTGATGGCGCTGATGGGCCGGACCGCCCGCATGGGCCGCCTGGGGGTCCTGGGGAGAACTTTGACCTCTTCTGTGATCCCATACCCAAAGCGCCCACCTCGGTTTAAGCCACTGCTGCTCATGGAGAATGACGTGTGCAAGCTGTCGTCTCCTGAGGGCTTCCCGGCTGTCTGCAGGTCCGTGTGGGACCGGGACCTGTTTGGCATGTCTACATCTACAGGTCACAGCTCCACCAGAATGTCTTCGTTGTTTTTGTGAGGCTGCTCACAAAGACAGAAGACAGCTTCTTGTTTGTCGGTCCACCGACCATCAAACTGAACGGTGTTCTCAGTTTCATCTGGAGTTCACCGGGTGTATCAGATCACCAGCCAGGGCTCATTTATTAGTCATGAGGTAATGTGATCGCTCAAATGTGTGTGGATCAGAGCCAAAACATTCCATCTGCCATGGAAAAAGGAAAACTTCGGTAGCAGTTAAGAAATAAAAGACTTCTCAAGAAATCTTAAAATATTTATTCAAACGAAATATTTATTATAAAACATGTAAAATATTTTACCTGAGAGCAAAAATCTGAATTATCTTCAAAAAGTGAATTTGAATTCAGTTGTTTTAAATACACCAGTTCATTTTTGAAGCACAAAACCAAAACAAAGTTACATCAGGTCCAGATTCAAGCCAGTCTTCTCAATACAAACAAGACTAAGCTAATGTTTCAAACTCTAAGTATGTCCTCAGGGACCTCTGCTGAGGGGAACATCAATTCAAGTTTATTTATATAGCGCCAAATCACGACAAGAGTCGTCTCAAGGCACTTCACATAATAAATATTCCAATTCAGGTCAGTTCATTAAGTCAATCAGTAATAAGTTTCCTATATAAGGAACCCAGCAGGTTGCATCAAGTCACTGACTAGTGTCTGCGACTTTACAGCAATCCTCATTATAAGCAAGCATTTAGCGACAGTGGAGAGGAAAACTCCCTTTTAACAGGAAGAAACCTCCAGAGAATCCTGGCTCAGTATAAGCAGCCATCCTCCACGACTCACTGGGGATGGAGAAGACAGAGCAGACACACACACACACACACACACACACACACACACACACACACACACACGCACACACGCACACACGCACACACGCACACACACACACACACACACACACACAGACATACACGCACACACACACGCACGCACGCACACACACACACACACAACATATATACCAAGTAATGTGTCTATAGTTATATTGTGATTTCTTAGTAAATATTCTATTTGGTGAGAGATAAACTTTATTGTATTTATCCTAGTGGATCTATAATTAAACGAGTAAACTAGTAGTAGCACATCCAACGTCAAAGAGAGTAAAATGTTATCAGGAGAGGGAAAATGATTAAATGGTTAACAACAGTGTTCAAGCCGATGGCCCCCTCCATGAGGCCACCACAGCTCAGCAGAACATCATTGTAGCTTCTTCTGGGGAGAAAAACACTTAGAGAAAAAATAAAGTTAACAGCTGAAATTGCAGAAAATAATACAGTTAAAGAGCAGATGGTAGAAAAAAGTAGCCGAGTGTGAAAAGTGGTCAGTGTATCCTCCAGCAGTCTAAGCCTATAGCAGCATAACTACAGAGATAACACTGAATAATCTAGCCTTTTAGATGGAGGCATGTTGGAGTCAGGGCAAGGGAGAGCCGTCTTTACCGACTGTACACTCCACCTCCCTCTACTCCCCCACTTGTCCAGATCTAGAACAACATCAGATTTTAACCATAGGCCCTATCAAATAAAAATTTTTTAAGCCTAGTCTTAAAAGTAGACAAGGTGTCTGCCTCACGGACTAACGCTGGGAGCTGGTTCCACAGGAGAGGAGCCTGATAACTAAAAGATCTGCCTCCCATCCTAATTTTAGATATTCTGGGAACCACCAGTAAACCTGCAGTCTGAGAGCGAAGTGCTCGGTTAGGAACATATGGAACAATCAGATCACTGATGTATGATGGAGCTTGATTATTAAGAGCTTTATATGTGAGAAGGAGGATCTTAAAATGTATTCTGAATTTAACAGGTAGCCAATGTAGGGAAGCTAGGACAGGAGAGATATGATCTCTCTTTTTAATTCTCATCAGAACTCTAGCTGCAGCATTTTGGACAAGCTGAAGACTTTTAACTACATTCTGTGGACTTCCTGAGAGTAATGAATTACAGTAATCCAGTCTTGATGTAATAAATGCATGAACTAGTTTTTCAGCATCACTCCTGGAAAGGATGCTTCTAATCTTAGCAATATTCCGAAGGTGGAAAAAGGAAATCCTACAAACCTGTTTAACCTGGGATTTGAATGACATGTCCTGATCAAAGATAACACCAAGGTTCCTTGCTTTGTTCTCGGAGATTAATTTAATGCCGTTCGAGTCAGGTGATTGGCTAAGCAATTTCCTTTTCTGGATTTCTGATCCAAAGATGAGAACTTCCATCTTGTCTTGATTTAAAAGCAAAAAGTTTAGAGTCATCCAATTTTTTATGTCCTCAAGACAAGCCTGTGATCTACCCAACCGATTAGGTTCATCAGGGTTAATGGATAAATATAACTGAGTATCGTCAGCATAACAGTGGAAGTGTATCCCATGCTGTCTAATGATTTTACCAATTGGGAGCATATATATAGTAAAAAGAATTGGTCCAAGCGCTGAACCCTGTGGTACTCCACAAGTAACCCTGGAGTATGAAGACGATTTGTCATATACATTTACAAAATGAAATCTGTCAGACAGGTAGGATTTAAACCAGCCTAACGCTGTACCTTTGATCCCTACAACATGTTCAAGTCTTTCTAAAAGAACATTGTGATCAACTATGTCAAAGGCAGCACTGAGATCTAACAAGACTAGAACAGACACAAGATTCTTATCTGAGGCCATGAGAACATCATTTGTAACTCTCACTAACGCAGTTTCAGTGCTGTGATACTCTCTAAAACCAGACTGAAATTCCTCAAACAGAGCATTAGTGTTTAAATGAGGTCAGAATCATAGAGGTGGTCCTTGGTGTCAGTCTCGATGACTGTCTCCTTCTAGCCCCACAGAGATAATCTTGTGAAGAAACTCAAATTCAGAAGGGGCTGCTATTTTTAAATAATAGTGTTCTTCTTTTGAGGTGATAAAACATTTTTGTCTGTTCTGGAGGAGACCATTTGTACATGAATGCCTCAGCACAGTGTCTTCGTAAGATTGGTGTGGTTCATCTTGCCTTGCTGAGATTCATTAATACCTACACCCTTCCTTCCCCCTGTGTAGTCTGGGTGTCATCCTCGACAGCACTCTGTCATTCAAAGCCCACATCAACATCATTCGCTCTGCCTATTGTCATGATCTCTGTGTTTTCCTGTCTCCCTGCAGCAGCAGTAATCTAGCTGATTTATTCCACCTGTGCTGCTCCCTATTTAAGCACCTGGCTCCTGCTGCTCAGTGCGAGATCGTCAGCTATCCTGTTACAGTCATTCGAGCGTTTGAACCTGTCTGTCTGTCTGCCTGCCTGCCTGCCTGCTCATTACTGACCCCTGCCTGCCTAACTACGGAGCCCGTCTGCCTGTTGCCCGACCTCAGTCTGTCTGACCACGGAACCCGTCTATTGCCTCAGTTCCAGCCTGAATCTGAGTACTCACCTTCATCGGCGTCCCTCACCACTGAACAGCGCTGCTGTTTTCAGAAGGCCACGCCACCCGGAACTGACTCCAGCTGGTCCCGATCGCTTTAACAAGGCCTTAAATAAACTCTTTAAAACTTTCTGTGTTTGGCTGTTGTTGGATCTGGCTGATCGTCACTAGGTCTGACCATTACACATATTTTCACTTATGCAATACTACTCAGTCATATTTAAGTCCACGGGGTTGCCGTCATTCAGTATCAGCACATCTAAATCGATGAGGAGCAGAGTTTTACCCTGAAGATGGTGACATAATTATGGTTTTGGGCTGAAATATTAAATTTAAAGTAAGTTGCACAAAACTGCCAAAATAATGATTACACATGTGTACAGCACTACTAGGCAGTCGTCATCAGCAAAAAAGTTAATTTAGGCGTTACTCGCTGTTCAAGATAGCCTGGTCTGCCAGACTCGTCCAATGTTTCATTCTGAACAGAGAACTAGGAAGCATGGAGCTGGTCAGGCTACTGGTTAGCAGCAACGGATGTAAATGACAAAGTGAAAGAAAGCTGATGATACAAAGGAGATAGGCTGCTTTTGGTTTGTGTGCAGTCAAGCAAAGGTTTGCTGTGGAAAAACAGAGGAACAGGAAAGGTGTACCACTTTTCTACAAACCTGATAAAGCAGAGGTTGTCAACGTCTAATAAGCACGTTTTTGAGGTGTTCTGTAAAAGTAAGCTCCTTTGTTTAGTTTCCTGTTCCTTTAAGCAAAACCTGTCATATTTCTGGTAAATCCTCCATATTCTCCGGACCAGACCTGGACGTGCTTGTTTCTGCTGACCAGCTGTTCCTACCGGCGATGGATGTGTGGACTGGGACAGGTCATCAGGCAGAGCTGACCTCGGTGTTCCTGTTTCCTCCACATCTCACTGGGTATCAGGCAGCACTGTCTCAGCACACTCAGCACAGACTCCTCATGTTTACCAGCTTTATGTAGACCTCACAGAACAACATGGCCAGATTTTACTGTTTGACCCTTTTTCTCATCCTCTCCAGTCCTGCTTTGATGCAGTTCTCTGAATCCAGTCTGAGTAAAGGTAAGAATTTGCTTTAAATCTACTTTTTCCAAATTTGATCTAGTGCTTCCATCTCTACTGTTTTGTGGTACGTCACCTTTGATGTGATCAGCTCACATTCTGCTTCCATATTCTGACAAAACTGAAACTAAATGTACAAATGAGTTTCTCATTGCAAAACTAGATGATGTTTTCTGGATGCTAACAGTATTTATCTCCTCTAACACCCCTGTGAGGCACATAAATCATGCCTGTTGTGTGCGTTTATTTCTTTTAACATTCTAGAAAAACATCAGTAAAAGTTATGAATAATTACAGCTGTAGTAGATGACTTTCTGAAAGGCCTCTGTTAAAAAATAGTGTTTACATCTCTCAGCACCGATAAGCTAACGGCTAGTCCATGTGCAGTCGAGATCAAAGTGTTTTGCCACCATCTTGAATAGTTTAAATCTTTTAAAATTTAAAACTGCTGTAAATTTGACATAATGTGATTATTTACAGAGATTAAGTGTGACAGTGTGAGTGTCCGGTCACTGTATCCTGATTGATCATGTGCCCTGGCTACTTGTCCCTTTGGCTGACTGGTCAGCGTGCATGACTCTCACCTGGGAGTCCGAGAATCGCATCCTGCCCGTGCCCTCGTTTCTCCACCTTACCACATCAGTATAAAGACAGCAATCTCCAAATGTTCTGAGAATAATACAAACAGTAGTTACCATAAAAAGATCCAATAATACACTTTGCAAAAACAATTTCTTTGTCACTCTTGAGACTTTTGGTGTCTACTGTGGCACTTCCTGTTCATCCAGAGGTCAGGTCCTGTCGGAATTCTGTTATCTTCCTGCAGCAATGACCACCATGTTGAGGTTTATAACATGATATGACATGACCTGCTATACAATTTATTTGTTTAATCTGGTTCAAACTAGTCAAAAGTTTATCAATCCTGCTGGACTTTAAAGGATCACTTGGAGCTTTGGCTTGCTTTTGGCACCCCACCAAGTACATTTTAATTCACCGTCGTAAAACCGAAACTGAAACTCTCCTCCTCGCTGTGCGTTTGTTTTTAACACCTTATGGGCTCAACACACGGGAGGCAACTTCGCCTCTCCTCCATTCATTTTAAATGAGACATGTGCGACAAAGCAATAATAGCAGGTCTCTCTCCGTCTAAGCGAAACGTGAAAAACATGCAAGTGAAATTTTGCGCTCGTACATGTGTCGTGCACAGGTGAGCCAGCAACGCAGTCCCAGAAAGTTAAAAAATATTAACTTTTCATTGCTGTTGCTCAGACAAGGATTAATCAGCATAGGTTTCATTGACTGACCAATGAGCAAACAGGATGCTTCTCTGTACATCTCCGGGCAAACATGAAGGAACAGTTGTTTTCTGCTGCTGATCACAGTCGTTTGTCGCCTGCTGTGTGTCGAGCTCTTTAGTCTAATTGGCTCGACACATGGGAGGCGACCCGCGGCGGCGGCCAGCGGCAAAGCCGTCTACGCGTTCTGTTCCATGGCAAAATCGAATCTTCCGTTGTTATGTTTGGCTGTGTCACGTTGGAGGGAATTAAGGTTAATTAAGCGGTTCAGAGTTAAAAAAAGTGGTAGGTATGATGTTTCACAAGGTGCTGCTAGAGTTATCTGAAATCTTACTTCTGATTTTACTATATAACCCCCCCCCCCCCCCCCCCCCCCCCCCCCCGAGAATGGGTTCTTTGGTAGAAATATTGTTAAGTTCTGGAAAATCCGTCACAGCAAGTATCAACCTCTCCTTCATGTTTGCTCGGAGATGTACGCTCATTGATCAGTGAATGAAACCTCCGTTGATTGGTCCACGTCCGAGCGACAGCGATGAAAAGTTGAAAATATTTCAACTTTCTGGGATAGCGTCGCTCGGTCGCCTGTTCATGACACGTGCACGAGCGCAAAATTTCACATGCATGTTTTTCGCGTTTCGTTTAGTTGGAGGGAGACCCGCGATTATCGTTGTCGCACATGTCTCATTGAAAATGAATGGAGGAGAGGCGATGTTGCCTCCTGTGTATCGAGGCCATTACTGCTGAATGTCTCTTCAGCTTTCATTAGTTTCTGTAGGAGTGGTTCATCACCAAATCGAACAAATCAGCATTGCTCATGATCTAAAATATGCAGGAGACAAGCTGGAAGAAGACTCCCACGATAGCATGTCGGCTCGGCTTTACTAACAGAGTTCCTGGTAAATATGACCAAGATTCTGAAAGGAGGAATCATGTGACCACGGGAAAAGGCTGTTCCATGTCAGCAGAGCGCTGGGTGATCACAGACATACATTTTATTATACAAGTTTTAAGCGGCTAGCCGACAGGACCACAGCCAGGAGCGGCAGCCGGATGGCAGGCAATGCTGCTCAGTGGCTGTCAGGGTCTGTGCTGATCTGAGGACTCGATGTTATGTGAGGATACCGAGACCTTGGACAGAGACAAGAAAGCGTCCATAACTGTGTGTTTGTCCGGTAAAGCAGGTGTGTGCTAAGGTGAGTGTATGATCGGTAATGGAACGAGGCATAATCACAAACATATTTAGAAGCATACAAACCCGAGGAAATCTAAAACATGGACAAACAAAACATACAAAAGTCGTAGCTACTGACAATCACAATAGGATGATTGTTAGACCTGTATCCAGTTTAAACCCATAATTGTCTCAGAGCTCTCGTGATTCACAAAAGTTCTGATGTTGCCTCATGTTTGGCCTCTATTGTGGTCAGATGCTCTTTTTCTTTTTATTTAAAATATCAATATTTTCTTTGTTTTGAGGCTCCACTGTGATAATAATAATCATCATAATAATCAAAGTGTTTTTATTGAGTTTTCAAAAAGCATATCATTCACACAGAAAAGCTCGAACTCAAGTCCTACAACACAATGCAAGATAAAACTATACCCAGACAAAAAAAAGAAAGAAAAAAAAAGGGTGGGGGTGGGGGTGGGGGGGGGGGGGGGTAAAAAGTTGCCAGTTATGGAGTAGACGGAAACTCATCTTCAAAATAGGAAATGAAAGGCTGCCAGACCTTAGAGACTTTTTTGGTGTTGCCCTGAATAGTAAATCTGAGATGTTCTAATTTGAGGTGTGCCATCACTTCTTCCAACCAGCGTTTGTGGGATGGCGGTGTTGCCTTTATCCAGTTAAATAGAATCAGTCTCCTGGCCAACAATGAGGTAAATGCTATTGCCGTCCTCTGAGAGGCTGTTAGCCGAGTTTCCCTCGGTGCCACACCAAAGATGGCTGTCAGAGGCATTGGTTCCATGTCTTCATTATAAATGAGTGAGAACGTTCTAAAGATGTTAGCCCAAAAGTCTTTCAGCTTGGGACAAGACCAAAACATGTGGCATAAGTTGGCTGGCACCTGTTTACATCTGGGGCAGGTCGGATCGGACCCCTGGTACATTCTTGCCAGTTTCTCCTTTGACAAGTGGAGTCTGTGTAACACCTTGAACTGTTATCAATCCATGTCTTACACATACAGAAGCATAGTGTACTAGATCTACTGCCCCTCCCCAGTCAACCTCTGAAATGTCCAGCCCCAATTCTTCCTCCCATTTCCTTCTTACGTTGTCCAGGGAGGGGGAAGCCACATTCTGAATGCTTGCATATAACATGGAGATTGGACCCTTAGCGGTCAGATCTGTGCCCATCAGCTCATCTATCCATCCGCTTTGTGGAAGCTCGAGGGAGGGGCTGAATGACTTTTTCACAAAGTCCCGAACCTGGAGATATCTGAAGGAGTCCTTTTCCAGTTGAGCAGCAGACATAAAAGTACCATTTTTAAAAAGATGTTTGAAGCATTCCACCCCAGCTCTGTGCCATTCCCTAAAGGCTGTTCCCCCAAGGGCTGGGGAAAACAAGTGATTTCCATAGATGGGAGCAGCTAGGAGGGCATTCCTTTTTCCAAAATGTAATCTGAATTGAGTCCAAATTTTCAAAGAGTTAGATATCACCGGGTTATTTGTGTAAAGATGTTTGCTCAAGGGTAGAGGAGCGCAGACCAGGGAGCGCAGGGACACTGGGCTAGAGACATACCTTTCCATATGAACCCATATTGGGGTTTCATCCTCATCTAACCCTTTGACCCAAAATAACAACTTATGTATATTAGCAGCAAAATAATAGTGCATGTAATTCAGCAGAGCCAGGCCCCCTTCTTCTTTCTGTCTCTCCAGAAACTCTCTTCTTATCCTGGGGACAGTTTTTTTTTCCAGATAAAGGCAGATGTACATTTTTTCAATTCCTTAAAAAATGATTTAGTAATGAAAATTGGTATCGTCTGAAATAAATAGAGGAACCGTGGCATTATATTCATTTTAACAGAAATTATCTTCCCTGCTAATGATAAGGGGAGCGATGCCCACCTTTCCATATCTAATTTTGCTTTGTCCAGTGTAACCTTAAAGTTATTGTCCAGTAAATCTTTATATTTACTAGTTACATTAACACCTAAATATGTGAATTTGTCCTTATGTATTGCCAAGGGATAGGCCCGGAAAGAAAGTTTCCTCGCCTGTTTATTAATGGGGAAAAGAACACTTTTGTCTAAATTAATTTTATAGCCCGACACCCCCCCCCAAAACCCTTGATAATACCAAGTGCCTCCGGGATACTAATGTCAGGGTTTGACAGGAAGAGGGGGAGATCGTCCGCATACAAGGATAGCCTATGATTTTGCATCCCCCTTTGTATCCCCACCAATTCAGCAGCCTGTCTCAGCTTTATCGCAAGAGGTTCAATTGCCACATCAAAGAGCAGGGGTGACAAATGGCACCCCTGTCTTGTTCCCCGGAGTAGAGAGAAGGGTTAGATATGATATTATGTGTTCTCACCCTAGCCTGGGGGCTCAAATAAATTATTTTAATCCACAAGCAAAATGTTGGACCAAAGCCAAATCTTTCAAGAGCCATAAATAGATAGTAATATTCTATTCTGTCAAAGGCTTTGTGGGCATCAAGGGATATCACAATCTCTGGTACATTGTTATCTTCAGCAGTATATATTACATTGAACAGACGGCGGAGATTGCTGGAGAGTTGTCAACCTGTAACAAACCCTGTCTGATCAGGATGTATTTTCTTATTTATAATAAGCTCAATTCTAGCTGCCAGAACTTTAGTCAGTATTTTATAATCACATCCAAGTAAACTTACTGGGCGATACGACTCACATTTAAGTGGGTCCTTATTCTTCTTAAGGAGTACAGAGATCAAAGCTTGCGACATTGTTTGGGGCAAAGCTTTTTTATCAAGAGCTTCCATAAATACTCTGCAAAGCAAGGGTATCAGTTTGGGAGCAAATGCTTTGTAAAACTCACTTGGGTAGCCATTAGGGCCCGCCGCTTTTCCTGTCTTCATACTCCGAATTGCTTTGTCCATCTCCATGGTCGATATGGGTTCCTCCAACCTATCTCTATCAGCTGCCTCTATTGGTGATATTTCAAGGTTTTAAAAAAAAATTCTTCACTCGGTCCCTATCATTTATTTCTGAGGTGTACAAGTCCTCATAGAAAGATTTAAATTGATTATTAATACCCATCTGATCTATAATTTTATTACCCATATTATCTCCTATCTCTACTATCCTACCAGCAGTTGCTGATTGTTTCAGTTGGTAGCTCAGGAGTTTACCAGCGCGCTCTCCATGCTCGTGGAGAACTTGGCTTAAGATATGAGTCCTCCTCATGCTGACTTGTCAGGATATAATATTCAGTCTGGAGCAGAATCCTTTTTCTATGCAGCTCCTCTGATGGAGTCATAGAATTTGCCCGGTCAACTTCTTTTATTGCTTTCATTAATTCTGTGGTACGTTTCATTTTTCTTTTCCTTTCACTAGCACTGTATGAAATGATTTGTCCGCGTATATACGCTTTCAATGATTCCCATAAAGTGCCACTGCTTATATCAGAAGTATCGTTAAGATCCAGGAAAAAAACTATTTGCGAATTAATGAATTCTTTAAAATCCTCATCAGCCAATAATCTACTATTAAGGCGCCACATCCTCTGAGGTGGTGTATACTCAGGGAATTTAAGTTTCAGTGTGACCGGGCAATGGTCAGATAATACTATACCAGGGTATTCTACATTCATTACCATAGGGGTCAATTTATTGTCTAACAAAAAATAATCAATCCTAGTATAAGTTTGGTGTGGCGGGGAATAAAAGGAGTACTGTCTGGCAGTCGGATTTGCATATCTCCATGGATCGAATATACCATATGTTTTACAAAAGGAATTAATGCATTGAGCAGATTTACTTGACACATTAAGTGTTGGGCTAGAGCGGTCCATAGTTAAATCTAGGACACAATTCAGGTCTCCCCCCAAAATCAGATTATGTGTGTCCAAATTAGGTAGAAGTGAAAACAAATCCTTAAAAAATTGAACATTATCCCAGTTGGGTGCGTATATATTTGCCAACACTACCGGCATATTGAATAATTTCCCAGCTACAATAACATATTGACCATGTTTGTCTTTTATGGCAGATGTTTCTATGAATTGTACATTCCTGTGTATAAGGATGGCCACTCCTCGACTCTTACTATCAAAATTTGAATGATAAATCTAATTACCCCCCCCCCCCCCCCCCCCCACACACACACACACACACACACACACAGTTTGAGGTGATCCCTGTT